AATGCATCATGGGACTGGCAGTTAGTGTAATGGCTATGTCGCTGGACTCCCATGTAGTCGACCACGATTCGCCTCCCGGACCCGGTGGCTTAAAACTCATGCCGGGCACGTGTGTGTGTGCCCAAAATCCCGAGAGGAGAATGGAGGAGAAGGGATTGTGGCATGGCCATCCCCCCTGGGGGAGTGATTTCTCACTTTCTGTCTCTGTCTGTCTGGCAAGTGCACGTGCCCTATAACAAAAACCTCTCAAAAAAAAATGCATCATGACTTTTCCCACAACCCAATATTTCTGGAGAAAAAGAATTAGAACAGGTTTTTCCAATATAGGGGAGCAAGTACAATAAGAGCTCATACCCTGGTTACAGGTTAATGACTGCATTTTATACAGTGTGGATGTGCTCAACATATACTCGATGATAATACGAATGTTTATGATTTTAAATCTCAAATCTCTTGCCAGTGTTATATATTTGTAAATGTTGAAATAAATACCTAAGTTTTTTTAAAACTGGAAATCTTTGACGGTGATTATAGATCAACCCAAATGTTACATACAATTAGTACAAAAAGTCAAATAAATTGACTTTACTGCTAGTTCCCACTTCATTGCTTCATAACAGGACTGTCTGATGTTGCATTAGTGAAGATACTTCCTACAACCACATAGTTGCCCCAGAGATTATGACAAATTACTTTACAGCCGCCAGGGCCATCAATAATGACTCCTTACTGTCTGTAGCATTCATTTGTTTTAAGAAGAGTGTTGTTTGAACATGATTCAAAAAATGCTAACCCAGATGATAGGTCAGTAAAGTCAGCCCAAAAGCCTTCAGCTCGAAGAGCATAGCAAATTTCCTAGCATTATTGATAAACTTTTCTAAGAGCGTTTCTCTCTGAATTTCTACCTCTTCACTCCACATGATCATACTGTTTTAGTTTTTTGTGTTACATTCAGAATCATTAGTTTGCTATTAGCCACTTCCAGAAATAGTGATTTAAAATCTCTTTGCAGCCATTCTGGACATGTTTGGATTGCACACTGTACTCTGGCACTTTTAAAATAAGTTTCTGTGCTGTTAATTTCTCGTTCGACAGGTGATCATTACCCTGAAATTCATTCACAGTGTGCCATTACAAACTCACGTCTTTCACTTGATAACGGTTCTGCTGTACAGTATTTTATGAACGTGTTTTTTCTTCTGTGAAGCAGTCCCAGTAAGGTGACAATCACATCTCTGGTCATGAGGTCCAAATGGTTGCATAGTTTCATCAGGCCACACTGTTTGGGAACGCATTGCTGGAGGAGCAGTGGCCACATGAGACTCCTCAGAAACTGATGATCCTGCAGGTGAAAAGGCTTTGGGATTGATCATCCTTTTAACCAAAGTGTAAACTTTTGGGATTTGGGAAACCAGTCTGGCTGTGTTACAGAGCACATTTGCCTTTTCTAGAGGAGGGGATGATCATAAGCTAGCTTTCACTGTATAAGGTTATTCCTGACTCTTCTCACCATCCCTCCAACTGGAATTATTGAGTCTTATTGAAAGTTTGTTATTCTAAGGAACTATGTGAATGTTTCTGCTGCACTATTTTATGCTCCAGCCAGCAACCTGTGAGTGTTTTAATGCCTCCACATAATCACCAGCAATTGGTATTAACCTATATTATTACTATAGTCATTCTGGTGGATGTGAAATAGTATCTCATCATGGTCCTACTTTGTATTTCCCTAACAGCTAATGATGCTAAGCATATTTAATGTGCTTATTAGCTTTTTGTACACATTCACTGGTAAAATGTCTTTTATCCCATTTTTATTTTTATTATCATTATTTTGTTCTTTTTAGTTTTTTTAGTTTTTTTTTCTTTTTTTTTTTTTTTCTATAGGACATGTACACTCACTGGAGAGAAAAGAGAGAGAGGAAGTGAGAAATCACACCCTGTAAGGGGCATGGCCATGCCACAGTCCCTTCTCCTTCATTCTCCTTTCAGGATTTTGGCACCCATGCATATGATCCTGGCATGTTTTTTTAAGACTCCAGGTCCAGGGCTCAAACTGTGTAGTTGGCCATATGGAATCCAGTGCCTTAGCCAATAGGCCACCTGCTCCTCCCCCTCTCCTTGTTAAGCACATTGTTTGCATTCTTATTGGATTATATGTTTTTATCTGAATATAAGTCTTTTACAAGTGTACAATTTGCAAACTGTGGTATGTCTTTGCATTTCTTTTATTTATTTATTTATTTTTATTTACATTTTTTTAATACATTCAATCATATTATTTAGCTTACAAGGTGATCATTTTAATATGTGAACATGTCTCCCCAGTCGAGTTGACCAAAATATAACAACACTATCTCCCTGTCTCAACAATACTGTCTTTGTATCTCTCCTCCAAATGCTTTTCCTCTGGCCCCACTCCTCCACACACACACCACATCTGGCATTCACATCCATCTCTTGTGTTTGTACATCCTTTAGCCCGTCTGTTTCAGTTATAGAGTGCAGACATTCAGTATATATTAAGTGGGGACATACAGTGTCTCTCCTTCATAGCCTGGCTTGCTTCACTCAGCAGTAAATCTTCCATATTCCTCCACTTTCTGTCAAAAGCCAGGGTTTTGTTGTTCTTAATGACTGAATAGTATTCCATAGAATATATGTGCCACAGTTTTTCAATCCATTCAGCCGTACAGGGGCATTTGGGTTAATAATAAACATTGATGTGCAAGCACTTTTCCAATGAGGAATTCTTCTGTCCTTTGGGTAGATGCCAAGAAATGGGATTGCTGGATCATATGGCAGTTCTATTTGTAGATTTTTGAGGAATCTCCAAATTGTACTTCACGGTGGTTGGACTAATTTACATTCCCACCAGCAGTGTAAGAGAGTTCCCCTTTCACCACACCCCTGCCAACACTTATCATTTTTTGTTTTTTTAATCTTAGCCATTCTGAATGACTGGGGTTGTCTTTGCATTTCTTAATGATGGCTGTAGAAGACAGTGTCTCGCCCTCAAAGCTATTCACGTCCTGATCACCAGAATTTATGAACATGTTAACCTTGCATGGTAAAAAAGGACATGGCAGATATGATTGATTACAAATAAAGAGACCGGGCAATTATCCTGGATCAGTCAGGGGACCCACTACAATCAAAAAGTTCATAGAAGGAGAAATGTCAGTGTCATTAAAAAAGAAGAACTAGATGTTGAAGCGATGCATTTTAAAGATAGATGAAGAAACCAGGAGCCAAGGGTGTCTTGTTTTATTTATTATTATTCCACAGCTAGAAGTTTTCTGATACTGTTGAGTAGATGTGGCAAGGAAAGGAATTCTAGCCCTGTTCTCAATCTTGAGGAAATGCATTCATTCTTTTATTAAATAAAAATGTTGTCCTGGGGCTTTTCATGAATGGTCTTTAAAAGGTTGCAAAAAATTCCTTGTATTCCTGATATAGAGAGGGTTTTCACTCTGTATTGGTGCTGTGCTTTTTATGCAAATATTTTTTCGCCCCTATTCCACTAATACGGTATACATCATGAATGCAATTTTAAATTGTTAAATCCTTTTCATAGTGATAATTCTAGTCACTATTCGGTCATAGTGTTTTATCCACTTTATGTGTTGCTCAGTTGGTTTGCAAATCATTCACAGAGGATTTTTGTGTCCATATCATGAGAGTTCTGTAGTTTTCCTGTCAAGAGCCAGAGTAGAAGTAGGATTGTAAGAGTGTGAGACTTTTGGGGCAATGTCTGTGTCTCTTATGGATATAGCAGTTTATACATTTCTCAAAAGCCTTAAGTCTGAATACATAAAATGTTTAAAGTTAATTTTTGTATAATTATATATTATGTTAAAAAGTAGGGTGGGAGGAAAGGATTTTCAGGATCCTAATAATGTTACCTTTCTAACAAATTTCTGACAAGTAAATTGTTAAATAATTTTCAGACAGCATAGGTTATATAATAATAATAAGATAACAGTGAAGACATTCTTTATAATTATTGTCATTGCTCTTATTAAAATTTCTGGGGTGGTTCTAATGCCTCTTTCCTCCTGTTTATCTCACATAATTCAGTAGAGGTGGGATCCTAAATGCCATTTTTATATTCAAGTTTAAATAGCAAATATGCCAGGAATTCATTCTTGAAACCCTTGTTGCTAAGTGAAAAGTTACTAAATGAAAAACAGTTTCATTAATTTCAATGAAAGAAAATTGAAGTTTTATCTCAACCCAAGATACCCAATTTTCACAGATAGAAAAATAAATCAACCACATAATGAGAAAAGTTTGTCAGAAATGAAAACTGTACAGTAAATAAATTTAATTTGGGCATAAAATGCCATGTGATGAAGGTTTACCTTATGCACCACAGGTGATGGCAGAGACCTGGGAGTGTGAGGCCCGGTGGGGAGGCACTGCGCCGCTCCTAGAAGGGTGCACTATTCTCCGCCATTTTTTCATCAGTAGCTCAATCTTTGAGGAAGTGCATGGGTTTCTTGCACTCACACTGAACTTAAAAAATGAATTACTCCCCAGAAAGTGATGTCAGGACTAACAGGCCTAAAGACAGTCACACTGTAAAACATGAGTGGAGCACATATTCTATACTTGTCCTGAAGAGATGCTGTCTTTATCCTGTCGCTTAGTATATGTGTACAAAATAATAATAATAATAATAGTAATATGTCTTCTTCCCAAATGTGTGGAGGAAATCAGTGAGTTTGTCTTTGGGATTATAATGCCAATCTTGGGATTATAATGCCAAAATAAACATTTCACAGCATACTTATTTATGGTGTTTTAGATGAAAAATTATACCCAAAAAAATCCTTTATCTGGAAAATGGTATAACTTTTCAAGAGTATTTGAAACAAAAGGTCATTGAACAGTTACTGTATGAAGTAAGGCTATTTGCAGTGTTTGGAGCGACATCGAGAGTGGGGTGTGTTTCTTTGCTGGGAGAGAAAGCAAACACCATCCATTTGTATCTGCAGATACCTCTTCTGGTTCAGAGGATGAAGGATCAGTGCAGGGCGACTCCCAGGGTACCCCCACCTCCAGCCAAGGCAGCATCAACATGGAGCACTGGATCAGCCAGGCCATCCACGGCTCCACCACGTCCACCACCTCGTCATCGTCCACGCAGAGCGGGGGTAGCGGAGCTGCCCACAGGCTGGCGGATGTCATGGCCCAGACCCACATAGGTGAGTGCACCTGCTTGGCTGCATGTCTGCATGTTTCCTGGTATCTTTGTCCTCGTTGATAGCTCAGGGACCACTGAGCAGCCGCATTCTTTTTTTGGTGTCATGCTGTAGAATCTGTCAATGGGCAGAGTGCAGAGCCCTCTCGTGCCTGGGTTGCTTCCGATTTACTGTTCTCAGGAAACTAACAGTCAACCTGTGCTTGACTGTTTCTAACCATCCCAGTATCTCCCAGGTGGAATCTTAGGAGCTCCCTGTTCATAAAAGAATGCTTTCTTGTTAATTAAGGAGTCTTGCAGCCCTATCTATTTAGTTACACTGAATAGGCTCCTCAGTGAAATTGTAGGAGTGCTGAAAAACAAGACAGAATTTTAAAGCTGAGTCGCCATTTCTTTGGGAATCTTTCAGGAAGGTGAGGTTTAATCACATCTCTGCAGCTGGTGTTCACATTTCTTGGGTGCTTCGTTCCATATGTGTGTAGGTTCTATAGTGAGGGAAACCCTCTATATTCAAAAAAGGCATAACATTACAAAGGATTTCCTTGAGATGTTCCGAAACAGTGCAGAATAGGTGATGAAGAGTTATTAGAGGGCAGGAGCTGGCGTGCCTTGGGTGACCTGCACCCACAGTGGGCGGTGAGCTGCATGTTACTCTGCCTCTCCACAGCCAGGCACCTGTCACTCGTGATGCCCAGGTGAGTCTGAAGGGGAGACATCAGACATCTGCATCTGTTTGGACCATTTTCAGCTACAGATTCAGCCTTTTTGAACATCTCAATAACGAATGTTGTAAAGTGAATGGCTTGGGTAGAATTTGGCTCTGTGTGATTGCCCCATTGAAACAGCAATGCGGAGAAGAGTGGGTAACATGAGGCTGCTGCAGGACAGCAGGAGGTATAAGCACAGACCCTCTGCCCCAGCCACAGCTGATATACTGCAGGAAAGCCTTATGTCAAAGCAGGGGAAACCCATGTTAGGAAACAGCAAATGTAATGAATGAATTAAACAATCCATGAAGATTTCAGTCACCTGCAGTTTTTATTTATAGATCAACTCCTTGACAGATGGTCAGAGGAGTTTCAAATGGACACTTTCAGTCTTAGTCCTGTTGGTACTCACTGAATGAAGTCTAAGTGAAAAGCATTGGCCTTTTTTGTATTCAAAACAGGATATTTGGACAGTTACCAGGAGAGTTTAATCAGGTCTCACTTCTTTCATTAATAACTGTTGAGGTCTTTTTTTGGGGGGGAGAGGTTTTTGCTATAGGGTGCGTGCGTTCACCAGAAAGAGAGACAGAGAGACAGAAAGCAAGAATTCACCCCTTAGGGGGATGGCCATGCCACAGTCCCTTCTTTTTCATTCCCCTCTCAGGATCTTGGGCATGCACGCACACACACCCCACATGAGTTTAAGCCACCGGTTCGGGACTCAAATCACAGTCGACTACGTGGGAGTCCAGTGACATAGCCATTACGCCAACTGCTGGTCCCAGTTGGGGTCATAAAGTTCCTTTTCTCTACTTTAGTTTTTTAGTGGGAAAAATAACTTTTCTTTCCGCCTCTCAGAACTATTGTAAGCAAAAAGGAGAACATAGGAATATTCTTCACAAGTTTTTGAAGTTGTATTCAAATGTGAAATGATATTATTAAATTTCAGTTTAACACATTTTTAGGAACATGTGCACTCATTACCATGAGCCAGTAACCTCTATTTTAAAATCACAGTAAGTTAAAAATTGAACACAAATGTGTGACCATTAAATATTTTTAGATAATGAAAGTCCCTCTTGTGTTTGTTGGAACCCGGGATAGTGGCTGAGGTTCTCTCAACTTCATCTGCCACCCAAACTAGAAGTCAGACGGCATGTCTACCACTTGGAGAAGTATTCATATTCTCTGTTCTCTGATTTTTGTTCAGTCTTAAGGGAGCACTCTGAATCTTATCAAGAAAAACACATACTTTTTTTTTTTAAAACAAATTAGCATTACATTTGGTCTCCTTTTATAAGTTTACACTTGTAATACTGAAAAAAATTCTAGCACAGAGAAGTCAATTTACCCAAACTATAAAAGCTTGGATTACTCATGTACATCAAGGATCAATGTAACCTAAACACAACTCTTGAACATGTGACATCCAGTAATTTCTAAGTTGTGCTAAGTAAAGTTCCTAGAATATCTGGGAATTTTCTGTAAGTATAAATTCTTTTCTTTTCTTTCTTTTTTTTTTTTTAGAAAGCAATGGCAAAGTCATGAAATTTGATGAGAAAAGAATTCAAATTCTTTCTGTGGCAAAACAAAAGAAGTAAAAGGTTGAAGGACTGGCAGCATTTGGCTTCTGTTGAGATGACTTAAAAGCCCACTGGCATTGGTGTGAGTGTGTATGTGCACAAACATTCCAGGAATCCAGAGCAAAACAAACCAGTGTGGTGTCTGCTGATTGGCCTGATGAGGTGCTGCAGCAGGGACTATGGAGACCCCTTATGTCCCAGGGGAAGAGGAATGAGGGCTTAATGACTTCGAGCTATCCAGAATAGGCCACTCTACTCTGTTGTTGAAATAAAATCCCAAGTCCTTTGTGGATTTTTCCAAAAATTTAATTGTACCAACAATTGATGTGGAGACAAACATCTCACCTCAACTCAGTAGGCAAGCCGGTTTAGTGTGCAGGACCAAATCCCATCCTGGATTGCTCTTGCTATTGTTCTGCTTGCTGGCCATATTGCAGAATGGGCTTAAGAACCCTGACAGTGACATTGCCAGCACATCCTGAGGATGCTAGGAATGAGGATGTGTAAATTGGTAATGCAGAAAAACCAGACCTGCCTATGCCAGTGCCTGGCATCACAGGTAGATAATAGTGTTGGCTATGTTGCCGGTTCTTCCCTATAGTAAGAATGATTCTTTTTATTATTATATAGATTTAATTTATACATTCAGTCACTGTACAGTACTGTAACTTAGAAAGTGAATTTACCCAACATGAATACACTTCACACCAGTCCGGTTGAATATACCATACCCATTACCATCAACAGATAATCATCCATTTCTGTGTCACATAAATGTCTATTTTTTTTCCTCGATTCCCTTCCTCTCATTCACTCTTAATCATTATTAGAAAGCATTTATTAAGAACCTTTATGAGTGGGACCAATAGATTGAGTAATGGTTACATCCCTAAACTCCCCTATAGTCAATCACTGTTCAAGTCCTTAAACCAGTGGATTAAAACTCACACCAGGCATGTGTGAGCGCACGCTCAAAATCCCAAGAGGGGACTGGAGGAGAAGGGATTGCAGCATGGCCATTCCCCTGGGAGGTGATTTTTCACTTGCTTTCTCTCTGTCTCTCCAGCAAACGCACACGCCCTGTAGCAAAAAATTTCTCCGAAAACTAAAAATTTAAAAATGTTCATGAGTAGCATTCTTAAAATTATTATAAAAGAAAGGATTAAGCCCTCTAAAATATTTTTTCAGTGTCAAAAGTTGAGTATAAGTTGTAACAGTAGATTCATTGGGATGCCTCTTAATTTTGAGAGGTATGTTTTTGTAAAAAGCAATAAGAGTTCAAATAGATGGATTATTCAGCTAAATAAAAATGGAAAAGAAACCATATTTATTCATCTGTAGAGTAAGATGAATAGGAACAAAGCAGAATAGATCATGTTATCATTGTCAATTCAGAATCTAATGGTGTGTATTTAGGAAATTAGAGACTTGTACATAAGTTATTCTCTTGTTTCTTAGTCCTGAGTACATTGTTGATGTGTCTGTACTCTTTGGTTGATGTACATGACAGAAGATGTTGTCACTTATGGGTTCTTTCACTGTGTGTTGTGGGTGTACTTTCATTAGCCAAGTCTTTTTCATTCCCAGAGTGTTTAGAATTTAGCTGTTATTAATGCCGCTTTCAGCACATAGAGCTTGTATGAGCAAATAGATTTTTATTAGATATTTTTTGCATCAGTCCCTAAGGTGATCATATGTACCCCAGAGATGAACATGCAGCACATACTTGTGTAATTAGCCAGGCAGTTGCTCGTTTTGATTCTAGATTCTGCTTTATTAGAGAATTTATACAGTGTTTGAATAACCAGCATTGTGATAAATTATCCTAATTTATTTATGTGTAATCAGCTAGAGTTTTGGAAGATTCTTTTATCATCTCTCTATTGATACTTCTCAAATATTTACAGACAGTCCTAAAATATCACATGTATGGTGAGGATGCTGATGTTGGAGCTGAGATCTTCCTGCCATGCCCATCCCTCCCAACTGCGATGTTCTTGTAGCTAGAGCTTTTTCATTTTAGAGTAGGTCAGCAAGTTTTTCCTACAAAGGGTGAGAGAGTCAGTATCTTGGGTTCTGTGGGCTATGTGGCCCCTCTTGCAAATATTCAGCACTGTTGTGCACATAAAATAGCCATAGACAATGTGCAAACAAATGGACATGGCTGTGTGCCAACAAAACTTTATGTATAAAAACAGGTGGCAGGCAAACCACAGTGCATAGTTTGCCAATCCCTATTTTAGAAAGCTTTCAACCACCCTAGTGAACAGGCAAGCAGAAAAAGAGTGGATCTTGCATTAGGTAACACCAGGCAGAACAGACTTTTCCAGCCATGATCTAGTTCCTGTGGCTTGTTTGACGAACTAGTTCTAAAAGAAGCCTGGCTTGAGAGATGGTGACCTCCTCAACTGTCTTCACTCTGGAGATTTCTCGTTAGGACTAGTGCTGCCTGCTAACCCCACATCATCATATTTAGTTGGAAATTAAACAAAGGTTGCAGAAATGTGCTCAGTGTAATTGGGTCAACAACACTGACTTGTCAGGACACCAAGTCGTTTATGGCTGGAGTAAATAGTAGCAATCTTGTTTTGTGGGTTCAAAACAGAGACCTATAAAAGTTGAGCATGTCACCCCAAAGCTAACTGCTAACACTATTTGAGCAGGAAACCTGAGGAGTTATATGTGGTTTACGTAATAATTGTGTCCACTCTGCT